TACGACAGTGATAGCTGTGTGGTCTCATCTGTGTGATTTTGGGGTGCATACTGCAGTGGTACGACAGTGATAGCTGTGTGGTCTCATCTGTGTGATTTTGGGGTGCATACTGCAGTGGTATGACAGTGACAGCTGTGCGCTCTCACCTGTGTGAATTTGTGGTATGTACTGCAGTGGCATGACAGTGACAACTGTGCACTCTCACCTGTGTGATTTTGGGGTGGGTGCACTTGCTGTTGGGTCCGCTGGGCTGCAGCCACTGGCTCTCAGGGTGGGGGCAGTGCTGCTTGAGCGTGCAGCGCTCCTCTCCCTTGCACCAAACGCAGCCGTACAGGGGATCAGCCTTCAGACACAGCCCACAGCTCCTGCGCCGGGCATCACACTTGTACAGGTGGACTGGGAACACAGGCAAACACAGGGCACAGGGGGTGAGCAGGGCTGAATGTGTATACATGAGCAAGCTGAACGCATGTGCTACTGTAATGAGTGCCAGATGAGTCATTACTTCTGGCGGCAGCATCTGGGAAAATAAAGTTTTATTGTTATAAAAAAGGTGAGTAACAGTCAGAGACAATTACAGGCAGCATTAAGCACACGACTCAGCAGAGATGTGGAGCCTACAGGTTAAATCCCAAAGGGGCTTCTTTGTTTCTTTGTTGCTTGTTCTGTCAGGTTTCATAAACCTCACAAACAGGGGATTCCTGTTACAAGAGATTCCTTTTTATGACCAAAGAAGACACATAGATATGCAAGATCTTTGGATCAATACATGGATCCTCTGGCTCCCTTTTCCCATATTTACCCCTGCCCGGAGAACACAGCCTATCACTCCCTGTCTTCCGGTTCAACGTTTTTCATCACCATGGAAACTACTGTGGAATCTACTCTTTAATTGCCGTTAGATGATTCTGTAATCCGTCCATCACATTAAACCTGCGGAGTTCTGCACCGCCTCTCTCCCGGTGGGACTGAACCGTGAAAACGTCCTTTGAGAGCAAAAGCCCGACCCGTCTCTCTCTCTCTCTCTCTCTCTCTCGCTCATACACACAGACATTCCTGGCATTTTTAGTTTTTTGATATGCAGTCACAGATTTTTATAAAATTGAGGTTCATATTGTGGGGACTTAAAAAACTCTCCCAACACGCTAAAAAGGTAACAGATAATATAGACTCAAAAATGTCCCCACAATGTGGTACATATAGACCCACACTAATAGACAGGCAGACAAACAGACAGACACTCATCAGAAACTTCATTCTGGACATTTCACTTTAATATTTAAATATCCCACCCCCAGTGTGTCTGTGGTCTCTTCCCAGTTGGACGTGACCAAAACCATGCTGGGCTTGGTGTAATGCGGACCTGAGCATCCCAGTAATCCCATGATGAACGTGCTACTGCCAGTGCAGCCATCAGGACCAGTGGCTACCCCCCCCTTCCCATCCCACCCGTCCCCCCCCCCAGGCTCCTTAATGCGGACTCAACAGCTAAAAGCCAGTGGGAGGTGGAAGCAAGTCTCCGAGAGAGGTATAAAGTGACAGGGCGAAGGGGGAGAGAGGAAGAGGGGAGAGAGAGATATGGCCAAGTTAATGAGGCAAGCTAAAAAGGAGAGAAGCGGAAGAGAACTGAGAGGAACAGAGAGATCGAGATGTGAAAACTAAAGAGATGAAGAGGTAAGGGAGGATAGAGAAGGGCGGAATGAAAGAGGGAGGTGAAGTCAACACAGTAAATGAAAGAGGAAGACAAGAGATAGAGAGAGGGATGAGAGAGGTAGTGAAGGCAACAGAGCAAATAAAAGAGAAAGAGAGAGAAGAGATAGAGCAAGTGGAGGGGAGAGAGGAAGAGGGGATGCAGGGGAGTGGTTAACGTAACCCAGGAGATCAGGCCATGTGGTTCTGTTACCATGCCAACGCACAGGATGGCAAGAGACTCACCTTTGTTGTGGGCCGGGTTGTCGATGGTGAAGTCGCCGTTCCAGATGACCGTGAGCTCAACTGACAGGCTACTCATCTCCATCCCATCGTAGAAGTACTGTCACCATGGAGATGGCAAGAGGCGGGGGCAGGGGGGGGGGACAGGCTCATTATCATGGACGGAGCAGCAACGCCAAATAACCATCCGTAAAACGATGAAGTGCGTAACACTGCGTGCACTAAAACCACAATCAACAAAATCAAAGAAGCAATTTACTAATTCAAATGGAAATATAATGAATGTTTTAATAAAGAATGACGAGTTTAAATATTAAATACTAACTTAAAAAAAATATTTTGTTAAGACAAAAGCTATTTTTTTTTGGTTTGGTGGAAGAGAGGGTGGTGTTAGGGAATGAGGTTGCCGAGGTGGAAACCCCCCCGCACATTTCGCTAAACGGTCTGTGAGTAAACTGTGCAGTGTCAGAATCTCATTATGGTTACTCTCACAGGGCGTGCAAATGCAAGAACACCACCCCAAGACACGCAGATAGATACATCACCGACCTAAGCTCTGCTTCCAGATCAGCTTCCGGATTACAACGTGCTTAGATCAAAGGTCGTCTGCAAATAACCGGCCAGACAATGCACTGGACAAAAAGCCATTTAAAAAACTAAAGTCACTAAAGTTACTCTCTCTGCCATCTCTGGTTCACCAACATTTGATGCAAAGGACATTTAAAATAATGCAGCTGACTGACATAAGCAGTAATTTACATTTTATTTAGCAGAGTATGAATGAGGGTCAGCCAGCACCCCAGGAGCAGTTGGGGTTAAGGTCATTGCTCAAGAGCCCAACAGTGATGTGATTACTTTGCCAGCCAGGAGTTATGGACCTATGACCTACCGGACATGGGCACACATCCCTAACCAACTGAGGTATACACCACCAAACCTATTGGTGTACAGACAGCAGCTGAAAACTCTGGTTCATGATACAGGGCTATCCCCAGAGTGCATTTTTCACCATGGGGGGGCAGACTGACCCTCCCCACTCCATGATGAGATCATACAGCTGATCATATATGGAACACAGGAGCATTTAGCCATGGGCTGAGACTAGTGCTAATGGTAACATAATATTAAAGCTAAAACAATTTGGGGCTGAAAACCTACAGTAAAGCAACAAGGCACGTGAAAAATAAACATGCACTGTTCAGGGTCTGATCAGGTCAGGGCCATGTGGACACAATGGGCAGCTTTCACTGTATGTCTCTTACGAGGGAACCTCGTTTCTGGTCTGTGCTAGTCCAGGCCACATGAATGGGTATAAAGCAGAGACCTTGTGGGGACAGTGCATGTGTCAATACATTGGTGTCCCAGCTAAAATGCACACATAAATTTATATTACTGTTTCATTACACCTCACAGAGGTGTTCTCACACACACAGAGACACACACAGACACTCACAGAGGTATTCTCACACACTTACAGACACACACACTCCCAGAGGTGTACTCACAGACACACACACACGCACACACACACACACACACTCACAGAGGTATACTCACACACATACAGACACACACAGAGACACTTACAGAGGTGTACTCTCACACACACAGACACACACTCACAGAGGTGTTCTAACACATACGCAGACACACACAAAACACACACAGTCAAAGAGGTGTATTCACAGATGCACAGACACACACATTCACTGAGGTGTTCTAACACACACACAGACACTCACAGAGGTGTACTCACACGGACACAGACACACAAAAACTCACAGAGGTGTACGCACACACAGACACACAAACACTCACAGAGGTGTACTCACAC